GTGTAGTAAGTTTTGGGATGGCTGAGACTGCTCAGAGTCAGGAATGCTGTGGCAGGAATAATGCATGGTTGCATTACTGAAAAGGAATTTATGTGATAAATGGGTCTGGCCCTGTATCTGTGTCAGTAAATGCAGCTTCATTGGCTTCATTTGAGCTGACTGCAGTTTGGCCAGTGTTACTTTTCCCTTCTCTAGCCCCAAACTTTGTTATCTGATGGTCATTTGAGGGTTTGTGGAAGTAACTTAAAATGCTGGGGAGGGATAGTGCTGGGTACTGCTCCTTGAAGAACCATGCAGAGGTTTTGGAAACCCTGTTTGCTGTGTCTGTGTGTGCTGTTGGGCCCCAGGCTTTGGCAGAGCCAAGTGCAAGGCGAGATTTCACCTGAGCCTGGCCCTGCACTCACAGCTTGTGATTCCTGTGGCTTCAGATTGTCTGGAATTTGTCTTTCTGATGGCACCACTGAATTGCACTTCTGTTGGTATCTGAGGTGATGTTTTTCAAGTCTGTGCAAACACAAACAGCATGCCTAGAAATTGGGAACTGCCTGAGTTCATTATTACTAGTATTCCTTTGTTCAAAAAAGAAGTGCAACTTTTATTGATCTATTGAGTATTGCTTGTTCTACATATTTCTTTGTCTGAAATCAGAAATCAAAGTACTCCAGGGTATTGGGAAGTCTTTATGTTTTCTAAATTAGTTTTCATTTTGCTAACTTTGAGTGCATCTTCGACTTCCAAATTTTTAATAATTTGCTCAAATTTTTCCTAAATTACCAGGATGCAGGAGTATCAACCACCCAGTGAGCATAGAGCAGAGCCAGCTGTGTGCTTCATCCTGCTGCCTTGCCAGCTGGGAACAGCTGATACAGCTTGATGCACTGCCCAGATGGGGTTATTTCACCCAAAAAATGGTGTATGTTTGAGGCATTTTGAGGACTGTGGGCAATAGGAGGAGGAGACTGTCAAGAAAAGTGAAGCTGCTTTTTCTGTGAGAGAAAAGTGTAGAATACAAAAGCAGAAATTTCCCCAACACAGGAGAGAAAGATAGAGAAGTATTGTTATTTATGTGCAGATTATACTCTTCTTAAGTGAACTAAAATGATCACTCTGGCAAACAATGTACTTCTAAAATAACATACAGATTTCTCATAGCCTTCAGTTGACCCAACACAGCCATTATTCTGTTATGCAAGAAGATAGGCCTGCTGTAGTTTCTGCTAACATACTAAATAGTTATATTTTAAATAATTAAAATAATTTATTCATGATTTCTAGGACAATCACACATTTTATTTTTTTCCAGTGAGCTGTTTCACTTGCTAGAACCATACAGTAACAAACATGAAACAACAAAAAATAGTTGTTAGCCAATGCTCCATGCATTCTCTTATGAGTCGTCCAGCAGTGCCCATTCTCAGTCTCAGTAGGATGTTTGAGCTGAAAGATAGCATAGAGGTATTTTACTGGCATTGTATGTTATCTTCTGTCTTTCTGTGACATTCAGATATCATGGCTGATTTTATTTGCATAATGCATTGCCGTTCTTAAGAATAAAGGGTTTCAAAATTGCTGTTTTCTTGCAGAATGCACTCCATCTTCACTGTTAAGTGTTGTATTTTCTCACTTCTCTTTATTATTGCACTGAATTGTTTCTCTCTTGTGACTTCAAAATTGACTTTTCATGCCACCCTTTCACAAAACAGGATGTGGCAACCCTGGCAGTCACATGAATGTAAAACACCTGGAGGCATAACAGAGCCTTACACAGTTTAAACTTTGATTATATAGGCAAAAGCAGGAAAGTTGAGCAATTAAAACATTTGCACTGGGATTCCTGCTTGACTTTCCACATGCTCATATGAGACAGAAGTAAACACCAGATCAGACTTTTGCCCTTAAATGGATATTATTTACTCAGTATCCTACCAAAGTGGGCTTCTCTTTGGAATAACTCATTCAAGCCTACTGCTCAGCTGTTTCTGTCCACTCTGCTTTGTAGGTTTGCTGTCTACTCCATTCTTGGATTATTTGATCCCTGCTAGTTTAAGAATTGTTCATCCTTCTGCAAAAAAATGTCTCAGTTTCTCGGTTTCACTCAAATTTCTACTACAGGAATCATGTAGATTTTTAGGAAGAAAATGCTACAATCTTTGCAAGAAGCGATTATTAGCATGCTCTAGCATTTAAAGACAGTTTTTTAGAAGCTGGTTGTGTGTCAGAGTAGAAAACACAATCCGTTGTGAATCAGTCATGGACCTAAGCAGTTTGAGAATTTTCTTTTAACATACAAAACATTTTTCCCCATCTACTTACATAGCTAAAACCATGTAAGGCTAAACCTGTAACGCTCAAAAGGAGAAAACATTGCAAAACTTCCAACAGACTTCACTTTCTGGAAAAGTAAGAGGATATACTTAAACTTACATATGAAGCAAAATAAGACTTGAAATATCAGGCACAGTCTATTTTATTTGGGTTTGGGGATTTTGGTTGGGGGTTTTTGTGTATGATAATATTACAGATTTGGACTTTTGTAAGCATTTGGAACTTGAAAAGTCAACTTCTGTATTTGGCCCACAAAAATGTGAAATTTAATTTCTTAGGGAGACTGAACTCGATTGCCAAGAGTATCTTGTTCTTCACAGCACATCAGGATATGTAGTGATAGGAGAATCTTCCTGCTCATGGCTGGCTTCTTCCCTTTGTCCTGGCACCCTGCTGCCTGCATTCTTGTCTCCCTTTTCCTCTACATCAGCTAACACCAGAAGATTCCATTGGGAATTGCTGATGATCATCTTCACTGGGAGAACTTGGTCTCTTCCCTATTCTTGTTTCTTATTCACTTTCCAATCCAGATAATCTGAAGGTGCAAATGACAAGATGATCATTTGTGCAATAAGTAGATACTAAGTGAAAATGCAATTTCACATAATTTCAAAATTCTTCTGCCTTGCTATCTGTGTCTGGCTTTTGCATGCTTGCAAGTTCAGTGTTGTGTGCTTTGTCTTCACTTCAGAACCACCACTAAATTGGAGATAGGGTTGGCTTATCTTGTTTGCTTTGACTTTTTTAGAAAAATCACTTTGATAAAGAAAACATGCACCTGACTTAGCAGATAAGATGGTGTGTTTGTAACAAGAGAAAGTAGCTCTGCCCCCAGGTATCCCTGTTTTTTGGAGTCACTGAAGCATATTGGTGTTCCCTAAGTGACTTAGTGGGAGATCTCTGTGTTTTCTCATGGCATTGGCTGCATCCAACGAGTGAGCAAGCACTGAGAAGGCATTTGTAGCTACACAAGGAAATAAATCCAGATCTTTGTTGGATTTGGGATATTCACAGCTGCTGAAAAGCGATTTTTCTGTTGGACTGAGAAGAGCATGTCAGAAGACAGGCATGGTGTGGCTGGTGAATGATTCATCTGCAAGGCTTCAAGCAAGCACCCACATTCATGATTTGCTCTGAGATCTGTTGATCTTGCTAAGATCAACATCTTACTGTCAACATCAACTATTCAAAATCTTCCAAGATGAGTTGTCTAAGATCCTGTTGGGTGTAGATGCCTGAACAGGCGCTGCAGTAAACCTTGCATTCCGTATAACGAGTTGTAATGTTAGTTATTCTAAAGGCATGATACAATAACAGATTATTGCTGTTCATATCTGTGTAATAATGGAAACTCCCTGATTGTACTTTCCATTTTACACATTGTCAGAACCTTGGACCTTAATCTTGCTCTTTGATTGACAACTGCAGCTGGGGAAGGAGCACTCGTATTGTTTGTGAGAGTCGCATCTGTTCAACTTAATTCAGCTGAGAGTATTTGCATATTCTTAAGTATTTCTTCTGAGAGGGCCTAAATCCTTCTCAAGTGTTTGATGCATTTTTGAAATTCATTCATAAGGTATCTACATGCACTAATAGTTCTGTATAATATTGCTGTGCATAATCTGTCAGATAAGGCTAGTTTTTTAAACAAGGTATTCTTTGGGGATGACATATTACATTCTGACTTATTCTACTGGGCAGAAATGTCAAGTACTTTGAAAAAGGATGCTTGAATGTTTTGATTGAATTAGTATTCTTTATTCAACACAAATTGTCAACTGCAGTAAAATGTCCTATTGTGGGAAGATTTTTCAAAAGAATTAATAGCAGGGCTTTTTTGTTTTATTTTTTGTTACTAGAGCTTTTTTACATATAATCATTCCTTTCCTGACAATCCTGATACTAGATAAAACAAGAGAGTCGATTCTTAGATGCATTTTAGATTAATTTATCTGGATTGTTAAGCCATGAGCAACATTTTTATATTGAAATACACCTTTGGCTTTTCAAATAAAAATTTGGCTTTTATCTATTTTGCTCTTTATTTTTTTCTTGCAAAATTTTTATCAATATTTTTGGAAGTATTGTCAATTTTAGTTTCAGGAACCTTTTGCTCTTGGTAGTGCATGTACACCACTAATGAGAAGAACCGCTGCTCTGAAAAATATTCAGGTATTCTGTTTGAGCATGGAACACAAACTAGATGACCTCAAACCACTATGCAAAGAAATACATGCGTGGTCCAAACCTATGTCTTCCATAGGCTGGAAGTTCCACTCCAGAACCAGCCGTGTTTGGACAGAGCATGTCCAATTTGCTGTGAAAAGAAATGAGAATATATTTCCAGCAGTTTAACTGGATGGGGGATGTGGATCTGGTTCAAGCTCAAGCCATTAAAGACACCCTAGATCTTGTAATGGAGCACCACTAATCACAGTGGACAACCTTTTTTTTTTTCCAATTGCACTAAGAAAGTGTTAAGAAATTAGTTTCTGTCGCTCGACAGGGCCATAGTGATTTTTTGAAAAAAAAAAAAAACAAAACAAAAACAAAACCAAACCACACAACCAAAGTAACCCCTACAGATTTAATAAGTGCATTTTTTGTTTTGTGCACATGCAGGTTTTAGTGTAACAGAACCTTTCACATTATCTTTGTTTTTCTTTTGCTTTCAGGAATCTCCCTCTGGACGTAGAAAAGCGCTTGCCACCAGCAGCATCAACATGAAGCAATATGCCAGCCCCATGCCTACACAGACAGATGTCAGGTTAAAATTCAAGCCTTTGTCTAAGAAAGTGGTAGCTGCCACACTACAGTTCTCCTTATCTTGTATTTTCCTGAGGGAAGGAAAAGCCACGTAAGTTGTTTGTTTGTTGGGGTTTTTTTAAACCAGATAGCCTGCTTTGTGTTGCTTTTCAAAGAATCCTTTGGATAAAGAGCTCTTTCTGTATAGAATGGTGGAATTTGAGAGCATCCTTCAGCATACCTATCATTCCTGCCATACTTGGTTTCTTAACCGAGTAAAAGTTGTTTCTTACTCTGATTTCAGCCTTGTGTTCTTCAGAGGCAAATGGCTTGTACTCTACTCTTACAGACATTTTAAGTAACAACAGCTTAAAAGTATCTACAGGTCTGAAATTAGTGGGAGTGTGTGTTTATGTTCATGTGTGTCCTCATCCAACAATACCCTTGGCAGATTTCAAGGGAGCCCACTAATATTTCACAAATGCAATAAGGACAAAGCCAGTTGGAAGGTGAGGGAGGGTGGAGTTAGAGTTAAGATTTTGGGTTGAGCACAAGAACATCCTGTGGGAAGAGTTCTCTTGGGCGCTGATTACCTCTCCCTTGACTCACTCACTTGGTTCTAGATTATCAGAAAGCAGGTAACTGCGACGAAGGGGAGGAAATGATGCATCTGACTTCATGGATATTAGAAAGTTAATTAATTACATTACTATACCATGCCATTCTATACTATATTACATCTAAACTAAATTTGCACAAGCACTTAACTGTATAGAATTTCATGACTGTTAGCTGATAGTCCCAACACACACATGGATTTAATTGGTTAATGAATCAAAACACTTGCACTAGAATTCAATTATTAATTTTCTTCAGGTAAACAATTTTCTTCAATGCATTTTACTTGTTCTAAAACGCAGGACCAGTAAATGAGATAAGAGTTGTTTTTTCTTTCTCTGAGGTTCAGAGAATGTGAATCACAGAAATATCGTTAGGAAGTTGTGCCTTGCTCTTCTCTGTGAAAAGAAATGTGGCCACACTAGATTGTAAGTTATTGACAGGGCACCCTGAACAAGGCATCTGAAAAAAGCTGCTCTTTGTGAAAGCACTGGTTTCCAGTATGTGTAAATAGACACTGCCTTTTTTTAAATCTTGTTAATGATTTCAGATATTTATAGAAGGGATTTTAATCCTGTAACACCATCAGGAGTTATGAATGAATGTAGGCATTGCACACAGCATGTGGGCAGTAGGTCTGGCCAAGCATTTTCACTTTAACCAAAGCAGACCAGGCAACAAGCATTTGCCAGCCTTTCTGGGCTGGTTTAAAATTTTAGGAAGCCATTGTTAAGTTAACTCTTGATGCAAAGCAGTATTTTTTTACCCTTTACAGTTCTGTTAATTAAAAACTTTCCCTTCAGAAATTGATATATATTTATGAGTTGTATTAATTTTGTTTTTTCACCATATTCAAGATCAGATCTGATATCATAGACCTCCCTGAAGAAAACATCAAAATGTTTAAAGAATTTTAAAGAATGTAGTAATATCAGATGTGGTATTAACAATCTGCATTTTAATGCCTGGTGTCATGTTTGTTATTTAGGGATGAAGACATGCAAAGCCTGGCTAGTTTGATGAGTATGAAACAAGCTGATATTGGTAACCTAGATGATTTTGAGGAAGACAATGAAGAAGATGAAGAAAACAGAGTGAATCAAGAGGAAAAGGCTGCAAAAATTACAGGTTGGTTTTGCCACAAGCATTGTAAAATATAGTTTCCTTTGCTTATTGTCCCTTTCTTTTATCCTTATGCTATATTTTTATTTCACTTAAAAAAAATCCTAATAACCACAACAATATTTAGGATAGCTTGATTGAAGAGGAACCCATCCATAACTCAATGAAGTTTATTACTTGTGAATCCAAGAGCCTTGATTTGTGTGTGTGTGTCCTGTTTTTGGGAGAGAATGCACTAAGTAGGTAGCATTTTAGGGAAGCAAAGAACCAGCATGAGCAGAGGAGCAGAAAAAGCAGAGGGAAAGGGTCAGTGAGCGAGAAGACAGGAGGAGAGGCTCAAGTGAAATAATGAAGGCACTTTATGAGAATAACTGCGAAATGAGTTGTGCCATGGACAAGTGCTGAGGTTCTGCTCAATAACATGGCAATTCCAGGCTGCATATTGCTGCCTTTTGGGTGGGGGTGTCTCATGGAAAAGAAACTGGGAGGCTGTTAAAGGACTTTAATGAATTTGATAGTGAAGTTGTTTGAAGTGAGATAGTGTAACCACATTTGAATTGCTGATGAAAATGCTTAGTGTGTTCAGGATAGCTGAACTAATCGAGGCAAGTCAGATCAGGATGAGATGATGTTAAATTGTTGGTAGAGATCAGTGTGTAGTATTGCTCCAGATGGGTGCTGTAGGAACTCTTTGTGTAATGAATCAGGAAAAGAAAATTGACTTCTGGTGCCAGACTTCATAACTTCCAGTGCTCTTGCAAAATGTCTGAAATAAAGGGAACCTTCTCCAAAGTGGGGGAAGAGCATCTTGAGTGGAGAAGTGAATTGTCAAATCTGTTCTTGAAAATTCAGAGGAACATTGGTTCAGTGTTATGAAACATTACTTTCATCACTTCTTTTTGAGCTTTCGTTGCAATCAAAAGGTTCAGCCTGAAGCATTTATTACCTAGTTACATTTAGTGTTGTGAAAGGATGCAAATATGTTTTCTGTATGCTTTACATATTCAATTAAACATTTTTTACCCTGGCCAAATCTCTAGTTATGCTGTATGTGCCTGGCACAGAGCATACTGGAAAGTGTGGAGTGAGATATCTGAGAAACCAGGATAATGTATTCTTGGTTGGGGAGCAGAGATATACCAGTCTGGTCACACTGAAATCATTCTGCAGGGTTTACTTCTTTCCCAGTGTAACCAGAATAAATCAGATCACAACATAAACCAAAACCAGGCCATTGGATAGTCACAGAGAAGGCCAAACTAAGGAGGGGTAATGTTCAGTCTATAGAAACTCCAGTGCACAAGGGTTTTATTAGGATCTGCCTGGGTACTGCGCTGAGGACTACAGAAAACCCAGATGCAGAAGGGCAGCAGGTGAAAAGCATCTGATCTTGCTTCTCAACACTTGATTTTGCAGCACTCAACAAGGCTGCAAATGATTCCTAAACAAGCAAAAGTCTTATCTAGGTTAGACTAGGCTGTCTACTATCCTTTGGGTATGGAGTGAACATCTTTGGAGATAGATGGCAAGGGTGAGCTGGCTGATGTGCAACACAAGCTATTTTAGAGTCATTTCAGCTTTTCCATCTGCTTTTGCAAAGGCCAAAATTATCTGTTCAAAACTAACAATACCTCCATGAAAGGCAGAAGCAATAAATACTTCTGGAATACACAATTTCTGTGCCTTTCTCAGCCTGCTCTGATACTGTTTTCTAACCATACAAGATGGGAGTGTTGGATTGATTTTTTTGTATCATGACATGAGGAAGGTCAGCCTTGGAATTTTTCTTCTTATGTTGGTTACAACAGCTGAGTTGCTTTACGAGCCTGGCCAGCTTTTCCCACCTTTGAGAAGGAGAGGGATGGTGAAGGGGAATGAGTGCATGCAATTTCCCAAGCAAATGGGAGAACATAAAACATAGGGCAGTAAGTAAACATTAATAAAGAAGATGTAAGGTATCTATTTCAACATGTGTTCAAGATTGATTTCATTGGCAATTGCAGTGACTCCTGCAATAAATATAATGAATGGGGAAAGCTAGAAGAGCTGAGGAAGCAAGGGAGAAAGAGGTAGGAATCATTGTAGAAAAGCAGGAAAAAATTTAGAAAGAAGGAAATGTAACAAAACTGATGTAGCAAAGAATTCTTTCAAAAGCTGTGTTCACAAAATACCATAAAGTTAATTGAGGAAGTTACATAACCCTTTTGAAAGCTTGCTGCTACCAACATTTTCTCCTCTTGTGCTGTGCTGGGTGTTGGCAGCTGAGGAGCTGGAATGCCTCACTGACTCAGAGTGCCCCGTGGCAAATCCCTCACCTCAGTGTGCCTGTTTTCCCAGCTGTAAAACGGGGATATTGCCTCCAACACCTCCTGGAAATGATGGGAGCAGCACACAGTTAATGTTTCTAATTGGCCTTGCAATGAGTAGCAAGGAGGAAGGATTGTTTTCCTTCTTTGGACTCCAGATTTTCTCCCTGCTGACTTGATGTCTGAAATGGTATTTGCTCCCAAGGCACAGCTGCAAGAGGCGCTGCAAGGCTTTTATCAGACACTGCTCCTTTTTGCAGTACAGCAATTTTTATTGGTTTTTGTTTGTGCGTGTTCTTTTTCGTTGTGCCAAAGTTGCAGTTTCATAGATGAACATATATATCCACTGCTGGGAGAGCAAGGGAGATCTGCTGTGTGGGGCTCTAGATGGTGCAGGTGAGTTAGGAAATGCTGCTTCTCTTCCTTGATAGGTTGCCTAACTTGGAGCAGGTATCTGTGCCTCTGTTTCTTCAGCTGTGAAGTAGGTGGTGCAATACTGACTGACCTCAAAAGCAGTGGAATTTGGGGTGGTCAGCATGGAACTGCTGCCATACAACTGACCAGACTGAAAGATGTTTTCCATTCCAAGCACTGCTTTCACTTGGAGAAATCTCACTCCATCTCAGGCTTTCCCCCTCTTCCTTCCCAGTATTTCTTGTTGAAATGTTTCATGTGTAAAAGCCGTATCTCCCCCAACTGTTCTGTGTGAAGTTGAAAATTGTTTGTTGCCATGAATTAAATTTAAAATGTTTAGTTTCTACACTGTCAATATACATGGATTTAAACCTCCCTGAATTATCCTGTCCTTAGTCTTCAGTGGAACACATCTCATACCTGAAGAAAATGTGCCTCATAACTCACAAACAGAGTAATAATAAATGTGCTTCTCTTAATGTTTTAATTCCTACTTAGAGCCTCCTGCTGGGGTTAATAGCTGCCTTCTGCTCCATCTGCCCAGGAGCACAGTGTCTGTCCTGGGGCACCACATGGAGTCAGGAACGTGCCCATGTGCTATTGCAGGAGCCTGAATCCCAGCACGTTTCAAGAGCAAGCTTCTGGGTAACAATATGTGTAACCCTTTTTTTGCAATTTGTAAAACCATACCTCTCCTGGCAACTTCTGGTACATTTACTCTTTTTCTTTGTCAGGATCGCCAAGCTGCTTGGAAAAAAAAAAAAAAAGAAAAAGAAAAAAGAAAGGGAGAAGAATGAAAAAAACCCCAAAAACCAAAGCAGTGATTTATGTGACATACTTGTAGAACAAGCTAATGTGTGTTTGTAGATAATGAGATTTATAAAAGATAATATAGGATATAAATCTCCAACCTACCATTTCCATACTCCAAAATATGACATAAACCATTTAATATTGTAATGAGAAACATTGTAGTGCGTATGGGTGTTTAGGTTGGCAGATAAGACCAGGTGATTCAGACCACATCAAAGAACTCTCTCTTTTTAAAGCTCTGAACTTAATTTGTTATTTTCTGACAATAAAAACTGAATTATAATTGTTTTGGGTTTTTTTTTTCCACATGCTGACATAATAAATTGTAAATCATGTCAGCATCTGAGCCTGGTTTTAACAACTAATTCGTTAGTACTGCTGTTTTATGAGGTCAGCTCTGTTTTATTTGAGTACAGGAAGGTATGTTCCATTGTCTCTCTTGAATCCTAAGAATTCCCAGAGGACAGTATTATATTATGTAGATTTCTCAGGTGTATGTATGGCTTTATACTGAGAAAGTGAAGTTTTGGGACAGTTTTGGTGTTATTTTTTAGGATATTAGTCTTGTCTGTTGGAGCTAAAAATAAGGAAGTGAGGATGATTAAGTTAACTCCATGTAGACAGATATACATGTAAAACCATCTAAGCAGATTTATGCTTTAAGGTCAAGATCAGGAGGGAGATACATTACAGAGGAATCCTGCTTGGGGTTTGTCACTGTCAGCATTTACGATGCCCAATAGATATTGGCAGAGTAGGTGATTTTCCTTGGTAATTTGCAGATTGGCATGTCTTTGCAAAGCAGTTTAAATTTGCCAAAGACGTTTTTATCCATGTGACAGAAGTATTTCCAGGTTCTGGTCTGCTTTGGGCTTCACTTTCTTTGTGCTGTTTGTAAAGGCATGAAGTCAGGAGGGGTGTCAGTGTGTCAGCTATGAAAAAGCTTGACTAGGAAGTTCTGGGCAGCCATAAGCACCAACATGAGTTGGGACAGTCAGAATGCTACTCAACTTTTGCCTCAGTTTGATATCTTGCTCCCTAAAACTAGTTCATTGAATAAAGACATATTTTCCTTTCCCAAACAAAAGCCAGGTGAGAAAAAGTCAAGTTCAAAACAGCAGTAAATGAAAAGTGTTATTGAGAGTGTTATTGTTACACAAGAAATTAAAGTTTAAAGGAAATAGAAGAATGACTGGCATGAAGCTTTACCTTTGCTGGTGATACCAGAAGGCATCATCCATTTATTTCATGGGGAAAGGACAGGAGATGAAAAAGGCTGTCAGTGGGGCAGTGGTATTCAACAAGCAGGATCATCTGTCCTGCACAGGTTTCTCTTGCCTGTTTGTCATGTGGAAGGATGAGGAAGGCTGTCCCCTCTCCACAGAAACCAACGCTCAGGCCTCTCAGAGATGCCCCAGGCTCAATCCCCATTACTGCAGAAGCTCCATTTGTCAGATGCTGTGGATGGGACTGCGTTAGGGGGGAGCAGAGAGGAATTTTCCCCCTTGGGCTAGAAGCCGCTCAGTTGTTTTTTGTTTCTTTCCTTCCAGAATTAAGGGGTCATCCCCATCTTGACTAAAATTAAACATTTAACACATTTTAAAAATTACTAGTTCATGGCAATTTAGAGCTCTCCAGTATGCATAGAAGGTGAAATAGGATTCTAACAAACAGCAAAGTGTTACTTACATAGCATGGCAATGAAAATTCAGGTGATACATATGTTCAGTTTGCATTCTCTTGCCACAATACTGATCATGTATTTTAGAACTATTTAGGTAAATTCATCTTGTCGTAGATGGGTTAGTTTGCTGTAACCTTAAGGGTTTGGGAGGGAGGTAATTTGTTCTGGGGCTGATTTGTGTTGATCAACAATGTTTTCATATTCAGGTTTTCTTCATGAGCAGAAAAAAAATCTTTAAATTATATCAAGTACACCTATCTAAATTTTCAACTGATTGTGCATAATACTCATCCTCATAAAACTAACTGTTGTTGCTGACACCATAACCTGGCTAGGTTTTGTTTATGTCTTGTTAACTGGGTTTCATGTTAAATTATCCTTGAAGCACCTACACAGGTGGTTTGCTGTAGTTATATAATTGTAAGGACTCGTTCTAAATATATTCTTTTACCCTCTCTCCCTTGCTCGCTCTCTTTCTGGTAACAGTCTTCGTTCCACTTCTGTTTCATTAAATGCCCTTGCCTTACGTTTGTCTTGACTGGCTTCTATTTACAGAAATTGTAAACCAGTTGAATGCTCTGAGCAGCTTAGATGAAGATCAAGATGACTGCATAAAGCGAGCAAATATGCCTTCAGCTAAATCAGCCAGTTCCTCTGAAGGTCTATGAGCTTTCATCCTTTCTTTCTGTTTCTGATTGTATTTACTGTGACCCATTACCTTTTGACTCCTGCCTGTATTCAGCTGTCAGTTTTATCTCTGTGCTTCCACCCAGCATGACTCTCAGTAATTTGTAGTGCATCCAACAGGTAACAACATGATAGAGAAAGAGCCTGTCTCTGCTACAGCTCCATTGTCATCTGATAATGAACAAGAAAGAAAAAAAATTACAAAAAAAAAAGAAAGAGGAACCACCAGACCCTAAGCTTAAAACAGTAGTTGTATAATCAGTAATACTTGACCTTTCTAAAGTGACAAAATGTCCTCTCTCTGCTTTTATGTGCACGTTACGTCCAAAAATTAAAATTTCCTGCCGATAGTTAGCGTGTATGTGAACAATCAAAATTACCGTATTTAGCTCGTTAGATGTTCCACAACATTTATTTAACGAAGGAAAGAGAAGGCTTTTTTAGAAGTAATTTCTGTTACATAATGTTCTGATCAGCAAATAGAAGTTTCATTCATTTCACTTTTTTTTTTCCCTTTGTTGATGTACTTACTGGACTGTGTTAACTTAGTCGTGCAGTTCGTGCCATACCCTGGTGCTGTGTTTCGAGGGACTGTTGACACGGAGCTTTTTGAGCTCCAGATATGTTGGAAGAACAGTTTGTATCTATTTTAAAACAATATTCCAATTTGTTTGTAGAGCTTATCAATAAGCTTAATTTTCTGGATGAAGGGGAGCAAGACCCGGCCAACTCCAGCACGAACCCTTTTGGAGATCCTGACACAGCAGAATTAAATCCATTTGGAGACCCTGATGTAGAAGGTAATGAATTTGTTTTGCATAATTCATCACTACTTGCTAATGCTTTGTGAAACATGATTTTTATTTCTGTAGGGCTATAAATGAAAAATTTTAATTGATTAAATGCTTATTTAATATAGCACTGAGGTAACAAGAGCAATGATCCAGTTGCTACTAGAAAATTATTTTGTTCTTGGAGTCACATCCTTTGTATTGAGGCACATTCATATTTGCCACTGGGGGCTACCAGCTGAAGCAGAGACTTTTAGACCTCTCAGGTGTGTTACTAGTACTCACCTTATGTGGTATGAATGAGCAACACATTCTGTCAGACAGCCCTGTTCCACGTGGGTGATGGTTTATATCATAATTTCCTTCACTGCAATCTTCACTGCATCTCAGCTATTCTTGGTTAGCACTAATCTTCATTATTACAATTTAATTTTCTCTCTTTTATTCTTCCTTTTTTTTTTTTTTTGCTTTTATAGCTTCCTCAGTTAAGCCTTCTGGCACTGTGCCTTGCACCACATGCTAGGTGCTAATCCCCTTTCCAGACTGACATGCCCATTCTTGTTCCATTTGGGTGAGATGTACAACCCCTGTAAATTTTTAATCTGATAAGATTTCGGCCATAAGGCCAGAAGGGAGCACCAGGACAGCAAACATCTTTTCTGTCCTCAACTCCATGCCCAGATATGCAGGCTCCCATCTGCTGGATGTATCACTTCTAGCTCAAAAGGCCAATTCATAGTTGATTCCCAAGTTTGAAGCTGTACTCAGCCTTTCCTCTTCAAAGCTCCAAGACTTCTCTTCCTACAGAAAATACCAAGTCACTCTGTAATGGCAATGGAGAAGAACCACACTGAGCAGGAGCAGCCTGGGGTGCAGCCGGGGGATTTCTAAGGTCAGGTCAAAGAGAATGGATTTCCAAGCTGCAGGTTTCCCCTGTGGTCACTCACTTTCTTTGAACAAGCTGAATGTTTACTCACAGCAGTTTTTCTGCCTTCAGAGTCCGCAGGGAATGATGTGGGTGGAGATCAAGTCCTGTCACTTTGGCTGTGGTGTGACTCACAGCTTGTATTTCTGAAACAGGGACGTTGCACTATTTTCTGTATTTGGCAACTGAAGCCATAAAGCCACTATCCTGGGCACCTTCTCCTTCCTATAAAGTTGTCAGGTTTTTCTAGAGCTGCAGAAGTGAGTTATTTCAGCTTTGTAGATGCCAATATATATGGATTAAGTTCTTAATCTTTGGCTTTATTTCCTGTCTGTTCCTTGACAGTGATCCCTTAGGATCATGGAAGGAAGCAGAGTAAGTGGGAATGTAAACTTCTCTGGTAGTCCATAAATAACTTGCTCTAAGAGTCATGGTCTATATTCCTTTCCTCCTTCTCTGCTTTAGAAAGAAGAGCTCCCTTCTCCATGGAGTAAGCTGTACAAGTCCTGTCCTACCTAAACTGCTTTTTCCAAACCCAGCTTTCCTTTCCAGAGAGAACTCACTCTGGAAGAAAGCAGTGGGTGTTCTGGCCCCAAAATACAGTGACTTTCTCTCATCTTGAGGACAGAGAGAAACAGCTGGTGGTGTTTCTTAGTACTGGTGTAGCTCGATAACTCGTGGCAAGCTCACTGTGAGCAGCCTGCATCCAAGACATCAGCTTGCTTATGTTCCTAAAACACTCTCAGCCTATCAGGGGCATGGTTTTTTTCAGTGGATTGTGGTTCTTTTGGTGACGTCTGCCTTCACAGTCATCTTCAGTCAGAGGTGTGGACACTTTTCCATATCTCTGGGTCTGTTCTGTGTGCTTAGGACAGTCTCTGTGATCACTTTTGGGTCCCATTTCCAGCTGTGGGCAGCAATGCTGAGTTGTTGGGTGTGTGAATACCAAGTGTTACTCCCACACACAGTCACTGTCATGCAGCAGTCAACATACCATAACAGGACAGTGTTTGGGATAAACAGGGTGTCACTAGATTCTTCCTACTATGTCATAAGGTGTTTTTTATTTGGGAGGAGTGGACCTTCTGTAAGGCTTATGTGACAGTGTCTTCCTGGAGCACTAAACCAGGCTGAAAGATCTGGAAGATCAGCTGAAAGAATGATTCCCAGGCTGTCAGACAAAGAGTTGGACATCTGGTGTGGCATTTTTAAAGCTTTTATATTATGATGATTGGCTTCTGAGGGATTCTTCTTTTTACCTCAGACACCTCTGAGAATCACTGGTTCTTCCACTGTGTTGTCCCTATAATGGGAACTGGTTGTGTTCCCATTACCTTGCTTGGCCTTCTTGACATGTGCTTTTCCTCCAGTTCTCTTTCTCCACAGAAGGTTGAGGAGGAGAAAAAATGGTGCTGAGACAAATTAGAGAACACGGTTTTGGTCTTCAGCAACAGCAGAATCTGCTGTGTATTTTTATGGCTAATTGGATCAGTGTCTCTACATGGGGAGCATCTAGACATTACCATTTTGGAGAGGTTTCCCTTTGTTTTGAAATGCATTTTAAAGCTACGCAATATTGTAGCTGTTCTTATCCTTTTGCCCAGCTACTGAAGGCTGCCCTGTTTGTGTCCCATTATTCACTCATGATTCTTCTATTCTGAGACTTCAGTGAAACTTTTAATATTGCCATCTACTTCTAGGAAGCTCTTTGAGACTGTGCCTGCTTGTTTGCTTTTGCATCCTGAAGTGAATGTAACCTTTTTGGTGGCCACCCCAGAAGCTCAAGAGAATGACAGAGGTTCAGGAGTTTAAGGCAGGCTTTCTCCTACAGGCTTAAAGAGTCACATTACCTGTTTCACTTGTCTTGTGATCTGCTTAAATCAAGAGATTAACTTTTTATGTGTGCAGGGATGAAGTATTTTTCTGTTCACTTACATGTTAGTCTCTTTATCTTTTTATCTGGACAAGTCATAATCTGGAACTTAGACTTTGCGAAAGTTCCGATTCTTCTCTAGAATTTGTTACTTAATTTCCCCAAGACGTGCAGACCAGCCAGCTGGAGCCTCCTTTCCTGAGTACTTTGCCATCAGATGTGAGGAGGCATGATTTGCTATTTGGCAGGGATATTCCAAGGATATTCCTATCAAGCCTGTAACGTGTGTGCTCAGAGTTACCCAGAGTATGAATATGTATGTGTTGACAGTCACTCATAGAGAAAGGAGGATTACTTGCCAGTAGATACTTGTTTCCTAGACAGATATTTCTTGTGCTTGTTCACAAACCAGCTACTTTCCCTCTATCTTCCTAATCCCATAATCACTTAACCCTGGGAATGTGGGGTGGAGAGAAACTAGAGGCGTGAGTGCATGCTGTAGGTGTGGTGCATGGCAGAGGGTCATCAGCAAGCTGGCTCTGGATGCTGCTGGGATTTAAAAAGTCCTCAGTGTCAGTGATTTTACACATACAGCAGAGTGAATGTGCATATCAACAAGTCACCTCAAAAAAATCTTCAGATGTGTTTCTTGGTTGACATGTCAAATTGAGGCTTATTCCCTCTGTGCCTCCTAGGTCAGCTAGACATTAGAAATCTGGGAAAATCAAAAATAATCTTTTTGAACACTATATCTCTACAGCTTTATACTAGATTACCTTTGCATAATCATATGAGGACAGCCTTTTGGATTTTAGTCACAGTGCAACAGAATTATAAAATCAGTTAATTTCTGTGCAAAATACGTACTTGGGGGAGTCAACATGTACAACAAATGAAAGTAGAAAACTACAACATTCTTTCATCACTCCAGATTTTTTTTTTTTAATTTGGTAGGGAATACAAAATTTTAAGTTGTGTATGACCTATACAGCACACATGAAACATGAGGGTAACTCTCTGCTGGTACCCCCTGTCATTTAGACCGCCATTTACTTAAGCAGTGTATTTCATCATTTCATCTGAGCTCCCTGCAGCATGTTTTACTCTGAAAATGAACAGTGTTACAATGCAGCAGCAAACCCCAAATCATTCCAGGGTACTCCTACATGCAGAGCAGCACAGGAACCAATTGAGAGGAAAATGGTGCCTCTGTCCCTTCTATTTCTTCACGAAAAGCAGTGTGTTGTGAGTGTATGAATAAAAGGATCAGCAAGTCACCAGTGGTGAATGGGGATGCCAGTCTTTACTCTTTCTAGAAGCACTGGGCAGTTGCAGCTTTGCTTGGTGCTGTTTGTTGGGTGCTCCCATCCCCTGGTGCCCGTGTGCCTGCAGCCCATGGCGTAACCCAGCACCTTTCACATGTGGCTGCTGCTTTCATCCTCTGCCAAGGGGAAAGTGCTACGTGCCATGTTTTGGTGGAGGTTTTGTTTGGTTTTAAGGGATGTGTCACAATGTGTTTGTGTTACAAAAGGCAAGTGGGTTGAAGGGCAGGGTGATTTCTGGAGATGCTCTGGCTGATTGTGCAGATAGGTAGCGCCAGAGTGATTATTATCACAAACAGTCTTTCTCAGTGGAGTCAGGGCAAGTAATGTTTCCAGAATCTGGCACAAGAGCAGCTGGTGCTTCTGCTGGAGTAATACTTCTAGCTCTCTTGTTGTCACTCCTACCCCTGTGGCTTTATTACTTAATCATGCAAAATTATTTTGTGTTTGACCCTTAACGTGCCAAACTGCAAGCATCTTTTACTATTTTTTTTAAATTTATATCAATGTAGAGACTGGAGTCCTTGTGGAGCTGTGATGAATGATATGGGGAAAGCAAAGGAATCTCTGCTGCTTTCTGAATGTAAAAGCAGCTTCAAGAGGGAAATAGACCCCTTCTAAGCTGTTATATGTTTAGTCTGCCAAAATGCACTTCTCAGCATCATTAGCTCTTTGAGAAAACGAGTCTGTTACAGAAAAGTGACAGGTGACAGTGGGTGTGACTTTAAGAGCAGTGCTGTTGAGTCATCATCACAACAACTTAATTTGTTACTGAGAAGCTTGTGATGACCAACATTTGATACAAAAGTTGTTCTAAAGCATTTCAGAGACTTCATGGGAGAGAACCTAATTGGGTTCAGATGGGGACCCATGTGGGAACCCTCTGTCCCTGTGGGAACATTGAAGGAAGCAGAAGGGGGAGGAAAATGGTATCCTGGATGGCAAGAGTAGAGAGAATGAGTAGCCAAGTTAAGTGGGTTTTAGCTGAGCCTCTACAAAATTCTGCCTCTAAAAGTGTCATGAGAAGGATATTTTTAGAAGCTTTTTAAATTTCAGCATGTGTGTAGGATTTTGTGAAATATTTTAGTTAATAACAAGCCAGAGGTGTCTGAGCACTTATACATAACACTGTGTGTGTAAGGCCAAACGTGTAGTTCCTGTTGAGCCTATGAAAAAGAGAAAGAATTTTGTCATAGTTCGGGTTACAGCACTTGATCCAGTGTTGAAATAGAAAGAATTGCAAAAACCATTTGCATTGCCCCTTAAAATGTATCAGATTTAAACAAGCATTTAACTCATTGTTTCCAGGAGACACTTAAAAGCAAATTAAAAATAAAAGCTTACAACGTAGTTTTAAGAGATTGTTTCCCTGAGTATTTTTAACTTCATGATGTATTACTGACTTTCCTTCTTGTGTGTTACCAGAAGGTTTCCCTCAGATATGATAATGTGTATTTATCAACAGATTCATGTGCAGGTGCAATGATCCATCATATGGAATTGCAGAAGCAGCTGTTTGTGGTTGTCCACTTTCTTGATAAAATATTCTAATATTTGAGCAAAGTTTAAAATAGTAAAAAGTTTGGTTAAAGCTTTGTCAATAAACCACACTATTTGAACAAGGTATTAGTCCTTTTTTTCTGCATTTCATTAGTTATTTTTGCTTTGTGTATGGAACTGTCTTCTGAGGACACATCTCCAGAGCACTTCTGCTTGCTCTAGTTCATCAAATCACCAAATGTGTGGGTCATATTTGAGTAGTATTCTGACTACCATGAGCTTCAAGGCATGCTGTGTACAATATATACTGTGTATACAGTGAGGGTGGGATTTGACTCCCCTGACTTTAAAAACAGTTTGGATGTGTAAGCTTTGAGTGTCAAGGAGTCAGCTCAGCTGCAAATACCCACACTGAGGAACATCTCAGGGCAAGCAGAGTGAAGCTTTTGTTGGCCTTGGCCACCTGCGCTGGAGACTAGAATGACCTATGTCTATATGGAACCACTTTTCTAGTTTAGCTTAAAATAAATGAACAGATACATTTTAGATATTGGGCTCTGCTCTGTTTCATCTACTCTGAGGGATTCTTGCTTGATTTGATCATATTTATGCTTTAAAGAATTTCTGCCTTGAATGCTTTCTTTTCCCTTTTCAGTTAAGCTATAGATCTTCAATGCTATTTCACTGTGGCTTTCTCTGAAACAGCTTTCTTCAAAGGATGTGGGCTTATGATCACATCACCCATAACCTAGGTTAATACACATACTGCTGTGCAGTAACTGCACTTCCTCCCAGCATAAGTTCCCAGTAGTTTATCCCCTTCTCTTAAGGGATAAGCATTTACTCTGTTGTAGGAGTGAACACATGCACTACAGCTGACATACTGCAAACACACACCCTGAATTTTCCTGCAGTTGTTTGTCTGTGTGGTCATGTTCCAGCATGGGTCTCCTCCACAGGCTGCAGGTGGATCTCTGTAGCCCTGAGAAGAGCTAAAGCCTTTCCTGCTCTGAGCCTTTGCCCTGATCCAGTGACTAGTCCAGTGCACAGAGAGGTGAAGTCAGGGATCATATTCCTATCCAGCTAGGAATGGCTCTGGTTCACACTGTAAGTTGGAGCTGGTCACACTGGATGGGGTAGGGCTTTCCATCACCTTGGGCTGTGCTAATGGCTGGGTTCAGGGTGAGCTGGATGTTTGCTGGCAGGGTAGGGAACTCTCACATTTTCTAGCAATTTGCCAGGATTAGCAGCTTTGGTACCTCATCCATCCAGGCTCACCTAACCACAGTGCTTCCCTTTGTTCATTGTGTGACTAGAGAGTTCATCTTCCCAAGTATTTCTTCAGTGAAAAATCCACTTAGAAGTCCATCTTTTTATTTTTTAAACTCTTGTCACAAATAACTTTTAGAGTTGCTCTGTTAACCTTAGAAGTATGTTTAGTCCGGTTTAGTAACCATACCTCTGAAAAGCACACACTTGTTGTTAAGAATAACATGGATATGGTTATTGAAAGTTAGGTTTTAATGATGCTGCATTGAAGTTCCTATTTGTGTGGATTTTGAAAGTATATCACATCTGGTATTGAACAGAGCTGCTGATTATTTGATGCTGCAAGAACAGTAAAATTAACATTACCTGTTTGTCTTTGTTACAAATGTTGTATTGCTGTATGGGAATTGGCATTATTCAGTATGCAGAAGCCATTCAGTGTAGAATAACAGACACTGCAGAAAGGACATTACACAGAGAACAGCATGCAGCTCCAGCTTGTACAACTTTTTGTTGTACAATCCAAATAAAAGATGAGTGATTTGATTATCTGTCTCTTTAGGGTTAATTTAAATCCATTTTTACAGTGAGATTATGTATTGTTAACAGGCGCACATGTGTTTTGATATGTAATTACTGGTCATACTTAATAGCTGATTTTTAATTCAGTAATTTTAAGAAATTAAAAGGCCGCCTACTTACTATCACCATTTTAAAATCCAGTATTATTATAAAATATAGAATGTCTTTTGTATTTATTCAAATCTCAAATAAATAATTAGGAACATTTTGTTAGGACACAAATTGGCAAATAGTTTGTGAAAATGTTTTTGTATCTGTTGTGATGCCATTTATATGACAAATAAGAAAACTAACAACTGATGGTGCAGGAGCTGTAGTAAGTGAGAAAATGAAGCCTATTCAATCAATATAGTCTAAATTAAAAGACCTTTTGAAAGACCTATTTTGGAATAAACAAGCATGAAAATTCACCTTAGGCTATAACTTTATGTATTGAGAGTTAAGAAGCAGACCTTTTCATATGCCTTTAAAATATAAAGATCTGATAAAATGGTTTCAAATTTTTAATTTGTAAATCTGTTTAATTTTCTTTTTTGTTGCTGTTATTTGGTAGAACTCCACCCTGAAAGAGCTTCATCTTCAAAGCCAGACGAAAGTTTCTATGGTGACAGTTACAATCCCTTCAAGGATGAAGATGCCCCAGAGTACTTAAACCCATTTGATGAGCCAGATCACCCACCTGAAGCACCTGGAATTGTAAGAGATTCTCCTCCACAACCTGCAAAAAGGAAAAACATCAGGCCAGTGGATATGAGCAAATACCTCTATGCAGATACCTCTAAAGCTGAGGAGGAAGAGCTGGATGAGTAAGTATGATTCTCCATCTTTCAGCAGCTTTGCAGGCATTAGTAGTGGGATCCCTGGCTTAATCTTGAGGTGTATTGGGTTGAACCATGGTGATCCTTAATCACCTCCTTAGGACAGACTCATCCTTGGGCAGCTCAGCAACAGGAAATACCATACCCCCAGGTCATGCTACTCATCTGAACATGATCAGTGAGGAACTTTCCTTTGCCTTATTGATAGCAAACAACTTGATAGGGAACAAGTCTGGGACCTTTCTGACACTTCATGCCCTGACAATTGCAAATGAGCCAGAAATCAAAGGAGCAAGACCTTGGGCCTTCCTCTCCTTTTTGCCATTATTTTTACTACAAAAAATAATAATTTTTGCCAATGATAACAGGGAGTTTGTTTTATCTTGATGCAGTATGTAAAAAGGAAGAGCATTTTGCAATGTGCATAGCACATTTTTGAGAATCTCATAAACTGAATATAAATGGGAACAATAACACCATATGCACTTACTTAGGTTGTTTCTTTCAGCATGGCCACACATAAAACTTTTATAAACTCACACTGACTGCCTTGTATTACAGTATAGAAACTATCAGGAAGGGAGAGCTTTTTGCAATTCCATGGGAGGTTGGAAGGTGCATCCTTAATCCTTGTTTGTGGTCATTAGTCACCAACCACACCACTCATGAGACAGTTTATGGTGATTACATCTGAGCAATTTTACAGACAACAATTCTAATTAACATTTAATTTTACATTATTTAATGAGATTTATCATGGCATGACATTTGCATTGCTTCAGAATTAACAGAGATATGGTATCATCATCTTCCCGTTTCTCTGTAGGTAGCTGTGGTCTAGGAAATGGAAGGATTCCCAGGCACTCTAATAGAAACATGAAGGGCTCTGCAGTTTTTTCCTTTTAAAGCTCTGTAGCCATGAATTTAATGTTGATGTTTGGTCTGTGAAAAATAAAAGAAAAAAAAAAATAAAGGGCATTGGGAATGATGCCTCTGCCAGCTCCATTTGTCAGGACAGTGCCTGAACAAGCAGCACTGGTTGCTGTGTCTTCAGAGCACAGAGTGATCACACTGACAACCACACCAGGCATTCCTGGTCATTCCCTGGTCACCAGAGTCTGTAGGGAATAAAAATATGTGCATTTTATACCCACCAAGATACAGGACAGCAAAGGTATAGAGGTATAGAGGACAGCAAAGATTGAAAGGAGCAGAAAGAGAAAAAGCCGCATGGATGAGAAGTGAAGAATTTTCTGTTTTCTGTTTCTACTTCCATTTCCACCCTAAGCACATCTATGCCAAAGGGGCTTGTGGCAGGATTGTAACCCTTCCTTTTGCTGTGTATTGGACTTTAGCCCTTGGTTAACAACAGCCTCCTTCTTGTTTTAATTCCATTTGCTTCATTGTTTTTTTCCCCAAAGATAAAGATAAATCCATGGGTGGATTCTACTTGAACATAAAGCTGGTCTGTATTTTCATGATAAAGCAGTGTCCCATGGGAAGATGGAAGGATAAAGAGTCAGTAAACACTTTCATAAAAGATGTAAAAAGTTGATTTTAAAGTTTTTTATGTCCTGACCCCCAAGGTAGTCTTTCTCTCCATGTTTTCCTCTGAAGTTACAGGAGCAATACATCATACAAAAGGACCTGGAGATCATTTGTTGAGTGCATTGGGTAGAGGTGTGGCAAGGAGCACCCTTGAATCTTTATACTGAAACACTCTGGAGGAATGAGTGTAATGATAAAAGTCCAGTCTAGAAACACAGGACATGTAATATTGGATCACCTCTACAAACACTGTTTTACCACATCTTGTGTCCTTAATTTTCAAATTTTTAAGTAGAAAAATTTAGCCTTTTGCTAAGGCATGGTCTGGTGAGCACCAAAGGCAAAATTTTTGCAGGCAGTGCCATGTAGTGGTTTTTGGGTGCCCTCAGTCATGAGGGTTTATGTCTAGGTGTGTATTGTTTTTACCTGCTGTGAATATTGATGTGTTTATTATCTGCATAAGTGGGTAATCTTCTTCCAAGCCTACTAAAGTCTAGGTTTCTGTGGCAATTTGTGGCAGAGAGTTCCACAAGAAAACAAGCTCTCTAATGCAATGTGTTTCTTCTGTTGATTGTAAATAAATTCCCTTTCCAATCCCATACTGTCTCTTCTGCTGGCTTATCAAAACAGCAATTAGTAATATTGGATTTACCTGTCATAAACATTTGTTATCTTGTCTGTCTATAGCATGTTCACCTTTCCTGTCACTTGTCTGAGTGCTAACTTTTTCGATCTCTCTTCATACAGAAGTCTCTTCATCTCTCTAATCATTTCCACCGCCCGTCTCTGGACCCTGTTATTTCTTCTGCTATGTGTCTATTTTAAGATGTGTTGACTTGGCCTGAGCAGTGTATTCAAGACAAAGCTGAACAACTGAGTCATATAATGAGAATAGAAAACTTTGCATATTATTTTCAGCCTCTCTCATAACATCTTGTTTTTTGAGTTTTTAAAAATTCTCTTTCATTTTCGACTACCACTGGTCAAGGGCTGTCTCCAGGTGTCCTTTTGAACCTGTAGGTGGAAGGCATGAAACAGAAGAAATGGAAGGCCCCTGATTTATTGATTATCAGGAAATACAATGTATTTTTACCCCCATGTCTTAATTATTAATTGGAATTCACTTAATGTACTGCTTGGCATTTCCCCCTTACCTTTTATGTGGAATGCAGTGCTGTGTCCTGAGAGCATGGGCTCAGCAGTTAGCATCAGGAGCCTTGTCCCTGTCACTCTGCCCTGGCAGATCCCTAGTTCTGATTCGGGACTCGGAGCTTACACCAAGTGCCCCAAGAGCTGAACTCTGACTCCAGTTTTGTAACAGACTCTCACTGTAATCATGTAAAAGGTACTTGGCCTCAGTGCACCTCTGTGAAGGATTTACCTGGGGTGATTTGCTTCTTTGAAATGTATTTGACTAATGTTTGTGAAGAGAGCTAATGCTTCATAACACACACAAAGCACAGTCACGAGCATAAGCATTGTGAGGCATTGCGTGGCACAGAGGGACTTAGGTGAGACAGTGCATTTTCTGCTGCAAAACTGTGCTCTCAAAACATACTTCCTCTGGCTAAATTCTCATACCTAGCTAAAGATAAGGAACACATTTTGTTAGTTTGGACATTTCACCAATAGTGTAAAATTCTGCTTTTGTCTTTCTGAATTTTATACATTAATGTCTACCTGTTAGTGAAGGATGGCACACCTAGTGGCGTTTAATTATTTGAAAATAGCACAGCTCACAACTGCTTAATGTATAATGCTTTCAACCTTAGTTCTTGTGATTGGCAAAATTGCCTGACCTTTTAACCTGCCGTGCTGACAGCTTTGGATTTCCTGCTCAGTAAAATGTTTATTTTTAAATTTCTTTACAGCTAACTGGTAAGACCGATCAAAATAATTTTTAAATTGGTCAGAATAAAACTTGCTTTCCAATATCATTTGGCTCTGTGGCTTCTTATCTCGTTAATCATTGTATGGCTTAGAATTACGCTGTGTAATTGGCAAGGCTATCGAGTTGCCATCTGCTGAAGTTGCCTGTTGCACAAGAAGCCACAAGCCACCACATTGGCAGTAAGTTTAATGCCAGGTATCTTGTCAGGTCTGAATTCTTTAAATTTTGTGGAGAACAGCCTAGTGTCTCTTTAGACAAATTATTTTGTGTGAAACCATTAAATAACTTCACAGAACCAGTAAATATGGGGTTGACTTCAGAAAAAAAGTGCTTTAATATTTTCTAGCTAAGGCTCTTTTTAACCAGACTTTTCAGATGCTTAATTTCTATTAGAGCCATGTGGAAGCTGTTGGACCAAACTCTACTACATATATCAGATCCTCATGACTTCAAACTTGATAGTTTGTTCAGGGCAGAACCATTTTGGTTGGTTTTTTTTCCTGTATTAACATTATTTTTCAAAGATCTTGCTCAATTTTTGTAAGGCAAATTAAGGGTAGTGCAGAGAGGAAGGTAGAAGGTAGCACATGTGCATGTCTGTTCTGTGACCAAAATGTGAGGGTTTAGCCTGGCTTTCAAGCAAGTTCTTCTCTAGAGGAAGAAGTCCTTTCAGCACTTCCTTCTGGTGGGTGCAGAGAGCAATTTTTCAGGATGACATCTGCAGTGCAGGCAGTTCTGGAGCTTAAAAATTCAAAAGATAGTTCTTCCAGACCTGTTTACTCTCATTGATAAGGTGTTGGGTTTTTTCTCACACCAAAATAATTTTAACACCTTACAAATACACCTTTCCAATTCAGAGGTAAATTCCTGCCGAACGTGCTGTGCCTGTTGGCTGTGCCAAAGGCTGACTTGTGGAACTAAATAAAAACCTTGTGCTGTCCCATAGAATGCATTGTTCTTCAGCCTTTATCTCTTTTATCTTCATTTTCACCTCCCTTTGAACTCTCTGGTGTCTGAAGGCAGCTGAGCTGGGCTGTCAGCTAAATTAGAGCTCCTGACAGCTGGATGCATTCTCCACTCCAGCCTGAATGTCTCCTTTTCCTACTGCCTCCCATAGAAAGCGCCCTTCTGTTTCCATTTAACTTGTTCCTTTGGTTGCCTTTAGTTTTGATTGTGCTGGTGGCTTTGCACTTGATGGGCAGCAAAGTGGGAGCACCTGGAAGTTGCCTTCAGTCAACAAATGAGTTATTTTAGTGCTAGTCTTTCCTTTTGCCTCAGGAGTTGGGTGTCTTTTTCTGTAAGGAGCAGAAGCAGCAGATTGTTAGAAAGATCTGGAGATTTTGTGCCGGATTTTCACTTACGTGCTTTGGTAAACGTTGCCTTTCAAAAGTAGATTTCTGTGGTGTGGGTTATTAATTGCTTGCTTTTTCCCAGTGAAAACAGGATTACTGTAAATTGCATTAAAATAAAGTCTAAAGTTTGTCTGTTTTCAGAGACTGAAAGATGTTTTTATACTGCGAGTACAAAGGAAGGAGAGAAATTTGATGTTGTGTGGAAAGCAACATGAATAGTTGATTATTACTGAATAGTTGATTATTGCTGCTGTTGTAGTTCTTAAAAATAGTGTATACTCTTAAAAATAGTGACTCTGATCCTGAAAGGGATTTGTTAATGGATCTAGCCAGGTAGACTTTTATTTAATGCATTAGTGTTTCCATCCAGAGTTGAATTCTTAGGGACTTCAAGGGACCGAGGTTATTTGTTGTGGTTGGATACACTGCATATAATAACTGTATGCAGATAGATTGTTAGAATCATAGTTTGAGATATGAGATAAATACATGTTGCAGGGGAAAGAGGGACTGGAAAAGAATAAATTAATGTATCCATTTCATAACTAACTGTCCAGTTTTGGATTGCAAAATGTGAAAAGCAAATAGTATTAATAATGAAATAGTTCAGTGCAAAAAAGATTCCCTTAAGTATCCTTAGCAGGATACAAAGCTGCTGTAGAAGAAGCCATTATTTTATATATTATTGATTGATTGATACTTGATGTATCAAGCTAACATAAAATTTGGCAGAATTTGGTTGTGGAGGTATTTACTTAGGGTGGTACAAATGCAGAGTTGGTACACAAACACCCAAGTGAAGGATAATTCTTTGGACTGCATCTACTTGGTGGAAGATGTTTACTCTGTAACATTCTCAAATAAGGTTTAGTTATAAAAACCACTTTCAAAATAGGTGATGCCTACTGGTTTCTGCAGAGAGATATGTACAAGTCAGATGTGGTTTTCTTACTCTGTTCCATTACCTAAGATGTTTTCTTAAAATGGTGTGGCACCTGTAAGCTGCAGAGTTTGAAATACACTGAGGCTGAACATGCACCCACGGAGGCCAAACTTTCCAAAACTGGACAGCCCAGAGTGAGGCCTCTAAAGCCCTGTGGGAGCATGGCTGTGCCAGTTGCCTGATTCTTAATTGTTCTCATCAAGCTGTCTTTGTCCTGTTCATTAGAGTGTTAAACACCCAGCAGCTTCGCTCACATTTTTTGGTTTTGATCTTATCATAAAATCAGATCACTCTTTGATAGATAGTGAAGTATAATTGGAGAGTTAGCTTTATGCAGTTGATAAAACTTCAGCAATTTATAGCACTCTGTAAAAAATACGGAAATTGTGACTGAATAATGCAGTTTTAGCTGTTGTAACTCACTTTTCAACTGTATGAAAATGTAGTGTTTAAAAGTGTATAAAGGTAAAACATTCTTATGTGGGATAATAAAAGCATTTTAGTCATTGACTTCCCTAAGCAGGTCTTATTTTTGGTTTTATTTCCAAGGAGATAGCAAAGAAATGTGTTTCCCTTCTTTTAATTAGATCAAATCCATTTTATGAACCAAAATCAAGCCCTGCTTTAATTAAAGTTGCTCTGCAAGAACCAGAAAAGAAGATGAAAAGAAAGGCTCCTGAACCCCCAAACCTCTTGCCAAAGACAGAGATGGGCATGGGTGAGAACATGTCAGCAATTCCTGCATCAAGGGAGCTTTCCTCCTCTCCTAAGGTAAGCTTTTCCTACCAAAATTTTTTCTTTGTTCATAAGAGTACCTTTCTGTGCATTGTAAACATCCTGTTAGTTTCTGCAGGCATCTTAAAGCTTTGCCAGTGCTTAATAAGGTGTTGGCTTGTCTCTGTTCACTTGGTTGATAGGGAGGGTGCAACAGTAGGAGTTGGTATTTTTTCTTTAAGGGTTTAATGACAACAGTAACAGCAACTGCAGTTTCAAAGAAAAGAGTCTTCTAGTAACCAATGTTACAGGACAGCTGGATATGCCATGGAGAAGGAAGAAAATCACATTGAACAGTGCTTTGTCCTGATCTATCTATTGTAATGCTCCTAAGCCTTGCCCCTGTTGAAGAGTCTGTCTCCACATTTCTGTCATAAATCTGGGTTTTAAAAGCTTAGTACTGTATATTTGTATTGGGATTTATATATGTCCAATTCCAAAGCTATGTTAAAGTAATTGAAAAAAAAAAGTCTACTTTAAATCAGATTACCTGTTTACTAGGTTTACTAGGTTTACCAACAGCTAACTAGGTTAGCTGTTTAGAGTTAGTTTCAGTGGAAGAGCTGTGGGTGTTTTATTACTACAAATGTATTACTACACAGCCAACTTCTGTCAGTGTGGATTTCAACTCCAGTGTTTCAGCAGTTAGCAACACTTGTGTCTTTTCTTTAAACAAAATAAACATTTAATAGTATAAGTTAATGGACCTTTCTTAGAAATGAATGTCTTACATTGTTTTAAAGGCAGGAAGATGAGGACAGAGTGCCTCCCTTCCAGTGTGTCTTACCCAATGGATGCACATTATCATCTGGTTTGCCTTGAATCAGAGCTGCTGTACTTCAGTTTCAGAATTGAGAGAAGCTACTTGTCATACCTGTCATTTCAGTGTGTAATTACTCAGCCAGATTGCTCACATGTCCTTGTCCACTCAGGCTCTGATTTGTTGTCGTTTTACCACTCACTCAGGCTAAAGAGTATGAGACCAGAAATCTAATCTCTGTCTGCTCAATGCAGAACAAAACAGTGGAGTGAGACTACAAGTACACTTCACAAGTTATTATTCATATGCAAAACCACCAGCAGGGATATATGAAATCAAAGCAGAGCCGTTTTATAATGCTCTGAGATGGGATTCAGTCCTGTTAGCTGGAGTTTCTGTATGAGTTTCTGCATGAAAAGTGACACATTATTTGATTTCTGGTGGAGTCTGGCTCTTGGGTCAAAGCAAAATGGCCAAAGCAAAGCTTTCTGGTACTACCAAGGCTGTGAAAAGACATTTGTGGAGATTTTTATCGGATTGCTTGGTGGAAATCCTGTTCCCCTTGCTCATTGTTTGGGAGGTGTGTTTTTACAGATATGCATTCAAGGAAATGTGTGTCTGTGCTTCATACATGTCTTTGCTGTGCTGAAATAACATGTTACTACTGAGTTTGGTTGTTGCAATTTTTGTCTGCCCTAGATAAAGCTTTAGAGTGTCTGAAAGGTGGAATTGATTTAGAAAAGATTCAGGATCAAACTTGCTGAGAAGACTGTGCTGTTATGGACAGTCAGGTGGTTCCTGCTTTTCTGTGTGGTGTTCACTATACTTGGTGAATATTTTGGTGCCTGCCTGCTTGCAGCCCACCTTTCTGCCCCTGACCCTGAGGCACAGCTGAGACCAGCACAGGTCCATGCGCTGAAACACTGATTTACATCAGGGCTGGGAGGGACGGCAGAGCTCAGTGCTCACATGCTCTTTTATAGAAAAGCTTTAATTAATTTTTTTAACAGGATTTTGGAGGATAGGATACATTAAGGAAGGCTCCAACGCAGATGTAATGTCCTGGTTCATTATATTACAGTGGAAAGTTTTGGTGAGTGGGTGTGTTAAAATATTGTACGGTCACTTGCAATGCAGAAAGCTTTCTGTGAGCATAGTCTTTTTTCTGTGCTTGAATTGTTTTGCACTCAGATCAAAAGCACTTTACTTGGAATGCTTCTTGAAATTTGGAAAAGTACTGGCATTTAAAAGAAAAGAAACCGTTTTCACACAGAGCAGTACAAAATAGTGTCCAGGTGGGACTTAGAGTGTTGGCACAAATGACTTTGGCACAACTGACTTTCTCTATTATTGCTCAGTAATAGAGAAAATATTTAGCAACTCTGGAAAAACTTCCATCCAAAAGTATAGGCACTATACAAACATGAACTTAGTACATGCCCTTATGTAAGGGAATAGTCCTATAGAGGTAAACTTAGGTAAAGGAAGTTAAATCGTGTTGTAGTCAGTGTTTTGTCCAAGTTTGCTGTGCACAGAAAGTTTTGGGAGTTGTACCAGAGGCTAAGTGGTTTCAGGGAATTCAGTTCCCTGTCTTGGTTGTTGTCATAGGAAGTGCCTGTGGAGCAGAAATGCTCATCTTTAAACTACACAAACACAGCATTAATATTAGAACTTCAGAGTTTAAGAGAAAATATTCCAAAAGCTCCTCTGCAAATCTTTGACAGAGTATTTGTTGCTCATTTTTCCTTCACATGCTAGTGGCATTCATCACATTGGCTGAATCCAAAAAAACACAAATGCTGTCATTGCCATCTACACACCAACAAGTTTATTGAGTGATGAACAGTCAGTTACCTGTAGTAGCAAACCCTTTCCAAGCCTTTTCAGTGTCTTCCCCTTGAGCAGGTCCTTTTGATACTTGGAGATCCCCTGTCAGCTGTACTGGTGAGGAAGGGTCAGTTACCTGTCTTAAATAAGACAGGGTTTAACACTAAGGTCCAGCTCTTCAGCCCACAGAATTAGCTCAGTATTTGCCATATCTGAGCTTGGAGGAAGCTTTGCTTTCAAATTTTTTTATCTATTCACACTCCCTTAAGGAATATCTTAATTCTCTCCTGTATTGTGTATCTCCTCCAAATGAATCTGAGTCATGAGAGAGAGCTTACAATGCAGAGTCTGAGATCTGGAGTTACCCCACAGTTAATCATCTCAAATGACTTGAAAACGATGGTATGCTGACTCTATTTAGGTGAGTCTGACAAAGTGCAAAGCTGTAATTAAGCTCTTCAGTCATCAGACTGCTTCAGTGCTGTCAAGCCCAGCAGTGCTGAAGCCTTGTTTGGCTTGTTACTGTCACACATGTTACTGCTCTTTGCATGGTTTGGATAACCAGGTTCTGCCTTTCACAGACGTGATAGAGACTTCAAATTTCTCCCACTTGTTGACTTTGTGGAAAACAAATATGGTCTCAGGCTCAAAATGTGTTATCAGACCAGTATATAGCATGCATATCAGTGCTCATCATTGTTTTATCTGATTACAAAATATACATATGAACTTCAGCAGTGTGAAATCTCAGCCAATTTCAGATTTCTGCTCTTCTCTGTGTTGTGTTGAATTTATTTGAAAGAAGATCAGTCCCAGAGCTGGCACTTGTATCTTACAGTAGAGGAGCTAAAACAATCTGTCTCTGTAAAATCAAGGATTTTATTGTCTTTGTGAGAATGAAGGGGCAGGAATGGCACTGAATTTATGTAGGGAGTAAAAAGTTATTTACTAGGGAGGAGGAAACAGGTCCTCAACCATAGAGTTATATTTAAATGTTAGAAGAAAATACTTGCACTGGATTGACATTTACTCATTGACTCCTTTGAAGGATAGTATACGCCCTTCACTTTCAAGAAACAATTCTGAGAGAGGCTTTTCTTGGGATTTGGTGTATTCAGTTTATTGCCAGACTTTAGCCAAAGCTCATGTTGATGCCTTATGAATCCATCAGGTTTCTGTCATTACCATTAACCTACTGAAAGTGAACAGGTATGTTGTATTTGGTGAATCCAGCTTGGTCTCACATCCTTTCTCCCATCTTCAGGGTCTGGAAGGCTGTGTTGGTTAAACACATTCCTTACAGAGTAACTGCTGCCGGCTGACAAGCTGCCAGCCTGGGATCTGGGAGCCCTCAGAGCTCCATCTCACACCTGCCTGCCCAGAATCCCCCAGTGAATGAGGCTCCTACACTCCATCCTGGGGATAGATCTTTCTCTGGCAATGCATGATTATATGAACAGACATAAAATTGATACCAGACCACAAGATGCTTTTTGAAGTTTACTTTGAATGGATTTTTATGCCTTGCAACTGATGAAAGTGTACGGCACCAGGAGAGGAGGATAAATCAGCTTAAGACTATCATTATTGTATACACCATTCTTGCCTTTGTCAAGATCATGGTGTTGCTGGTAGTCATGAAAACACAGGAATTGGTTTTGGTGCTTTTAGACAAGAACTTGTGATGGCCTTTTAAGTCAGTGGAAGAGGAGAATACACATTCTCATAGCAGTCCAAAGCCAATAGTAACATCTCTGTTTGTCACCATCATTGTTAAAGTTCTCTCTGTCTGTCATTTTAAAACTAAAATTAATTGTTTTGCATGCCAAGTAATAATCTGCTCTCTCATGCCAGACAAGCTAGCTGATTTAAGCTCCAATGAAACATTTACAGGAAATACAGAATCATTTTCTGCATGAGATGTGGTAATCCATCTCAATCCAGTATCCCTGGTAATCTGCTGTGTATCTGCAATGCTTCAGGATGTTCAGGCTGTCCAGAAAGATTTCTGCCTGATAGACAGTTTGTCCTTCAAGCAGCAAAGGAGGTACAAATTACTTCCTTATGAAGGAAGAGAAATTCTCAGATACTTCTCAAGGGAACAAGAAGGAACCTGTAATTTTTTTCTCCTTCTCATTCATTCTAACCCAGAATAAATACTTAGAGGGCAAAACAGGTAGGTTTAGTGGAATGGGGAGAAGTGACATATTCCCTCACAGCTCCCAAGATATCAGAGATCCTAAAGTCTCCAGTTGCTTGTTTTCTCCACTTTTATTTACCTCAAGATTATCAAAGCTATGTTATCAAACAGTAGGAAGACTTCATCCTAAAACACAGGCACAGTAATGCAGCTGAGTGGAGGAATGACAGAATTCCACACAGAAGATGAAGGTCTCTCACTGTCTCCAAT